ATGATTCAAAGTTAGATATTTGAATCTTATAGATGATTATTGTTTGAAGTTAGATTGTACAACATTGGATTATAACACAGTGGTCTAAAAGTTAAGCGTCTGAGTATAGTATCACACGTTAAGGGTCCTATTCCCAATTATTGGACCGTAAGTGACAACTCCTGAGGAGTCTCATAATAAGACAAAACAATTGTCTGGTGCTTTCAAGTTTTCAATGATAATCGAGTTTTGATCGGTTTGTGACTTGAATCAAATTCGTCAATCTCCACAATCCTATACTGATAATAAATGACGTCTCTCGATGTAACAAAATGTCGAACTATTTTATTGTTATGGTTTCCGATGTACTTGTCATCAGTAAAATATACTTATTACCAGTGATTACATATTACATTATCTGGACAATTAACTTCTGCCAAGATTAGAGACAATACATTATAATGCTGTTTAAACTTACAATGTAAACTATTTAACTACATTTCGTCTATACTGTTTGTCATCACAATCATGAGACTTATCAAAGATTGAAATTTTAATAGTTGAATTCATGAGTCGATTTAAGCTAGACCATCACTGAAAACCTCTAAGGACTGGATGACCGTTTCGTCCCAGTATAGGACTCCTCATCAGTGCTCATCATATCCTAACTAATGACTAACTTCATGATGGATATCCTTTAGTTCTCGTGAGAAGTCATGATTAGTCGAGTCCAATCCATGTCTAGTGTGAGACAATTATTCACCTCAGACAATAGATGGAAGACTGCGTAAGATCACGTTTATTTATTATTATTTATTTATTTAAACACATAAACATTGGTACAAGGAGGCACAAAATAAATATGCACCATATAAACCATTTGATTTATGTGAGGGCTGGGATACCACCTGAGTGCCCAAACCAAAGCATATGGTTTTATTATGGGGCCACATCCCTAACCTTTCACATAAAAGTCAATCCACAAGACAGTGAAGCAACTTCAGAAGGTGAAGTTCCATGGTATCCGGTGAGCAAGAATTACTTCATATACCATTTTCCCTTCAGGATCACAGAGACCATATGTACCTAGACGGATCCTTCGTATCCACCAACATAATTAAAGCGTCGGACATTCTACTTTTCGTCTTGTCAACTTCATAAATAACACACTTACCGCGAGAAAGTAGTGAGTAGGACTTTCCTGTCAGTGGTTGTATGCACGTAGCTGTATAATTGTATTTCGAGAGGGAGAGTTGAATCTTCCCATTCTTGGCCGTACCAGAGTATTCAGGTTACACATTAACAACGTTTGGATACTGTTCCAACAGTGTAGAGTTTAATTGTTCACACTCAAGACCGATGTGTCCTAGGTTCGAGTTCATGTTCTATCAGTAACTATAATCACTGAGATTGATGACTGACATCACTTATACATACATTAATCAAATGTATTATCCTAAATGGGGAATAAACCTTTATATTTTTACTAATATTATTATAAAGTATATACACTTATGATGATGGAGGAGATTTTTATCTCAGGTGGATGATTTTTGATGGAATTTTTCTCTCTGAGTTGGATGGTTTGGTCGTAGAGCTTTCATCGTTCTTCTGAACGATCATCATCAGCAGCAGCACAAACTTCAGATAGAAGTTTATCCACGACAAAACCATCCAGCTCAGAAAGCAAAACTCCATCAAAATATACACTTGTATTCATTCTTTCAATCTTATAATTGATCAATCAATAAAAAAAAGTACAAATTCTATTCAATTCATTCTATATTTGGTTACAAACCTAAATATTCCCATTAAACATTTATGTACTTCTATTTATCATGGCCTTTACCCTAAAAAATAAAACAAATTTAAGGTCAATTATTTTTTTTCTTTCTTTTTTTTTGTTTTTTTTTTCATTGTGGCTTTGACTTATTTTTTCTCTAGAAAATGTTCTTTGTTGTTAACTTGTCCGGTAAAATCTTTTTTTGTTTTTAGGTGTGTGTTATGGGTGTATATATATATATATAATTATATGTGTACGTGCGTCTGTATGTTTTGTGTGTGTGTGCGCTTGTTATGTGTATGAAAAAAGTAGATGATGTCATTTAGTAGAGTTAGTATATCTATATATATATATGTGTGTGTGTACAATACAGGTGTGTGTCAGCCATACTACTTTTCCATAACTAGTAAATTAAATCATACCTGTCTGTTTACTAATTTTTTTTTGTTGTTGTTGGGATTGATAACCGGTCTATAAAAAAGAATAAATTTAAATTAACCAATAGAATAATTGCGATATTGAGTTTGTCTATCATATCAATCAGCCTAGATTTAAGCCTAATTTGTACATCATGTGTATGTGTGTGTGTGTGTGTGGGGGGGGTTGGTGGTGTTTTGTTTGAAGGTCATTTTCATCATTGGTAAGTAGTAGCATTAGGGTCAAAGGCTAAATATTCTAGATGGATTAAAATATGCCTTTAGATGATTGCCAAAAAACAAAACAAACAACCCCAAATGATTCATTCATTGAAATGATTAACAGTAGAAGTAAACAAGATGATTCATCATTTGGGGTATTTTGTCCTTTTATTCATCTGTAATGTAAGGTCATTTATGTTGTATATGATAAAGAATGGAATTGGGGGATATATATTTATAGAATATTTTTAGATAAAATATCCACTTTTTTGTTAGTGTGTGTTGTTATTAAATATAAAGTTATTTGAACAGAAATATTCGTACAGAGGGGCATCGAATACGTATGTACCACACAAGTCACTTGATTTGTGTGTGTGTGTTGGCTGTGGTGCAGGTGGGGAGCTACATCCTGAGCCACTAATATAAAGGTCTCATTCACAAGATTGTGAAGTAACGTTAAGAGATACAGTCACATAGTAGCCGATGAACAACAATAGGTTTATACGACATTTGTTTTCTTAGGATCTTGGAGACCATGTACACCATTGGTTTGTAATTAGAATTTTCCAACTCTCCTAGGTGAACCCTTTGTGTCTATCAACCCGCTTAGAGTACCACACATTCGGTTTTCGTCCTCTTAATTCCGTAAACAACACCCTAGCCATGAGAAGTGAGTAAGTAGGACTTCCCTATCAGTTGTTGTATATGCGTGGCTATGTAAGAGCTCTTCGCGAGGAAGAGCTAATTTTTCCCACGGTCGGCCGTACCACGAAATTTGGGGGCTGTTGTGAAGTGACGTTCCCAGTAAGGCGATGCTTTGAGGAGGTTTATAGGATGCTCTGCTCCACCAAGATTTTGAGCTACTTGTCGCTCATCAATATGGTTCACCTGTAATCTTTAGGGAACTCATTCTCTCTGTCGTATTAATCCCGTATTGCCCAGATTCATAGTCAGAGATATTGAGATTGACCTTTCGTACAAATGAGATATATATTTAAAACTTAATAGTTGTATTCATGAGTCAATTGAAACTAGACCACCATGGAAAACCTGGAAACAATGGTGGATAGTGGCGAAACTTCGTGGATTGGTTGATGTTAGGCATTTACACTGTTGGATACTGATAAGTTCAGTGGTATAGAGGTTAAGCGCTTGCGCGCGAAACTGATAAGTCCTGAGTTCGAATCTCTCGAGATGGGATCATGGATGCGCACTGCTGAGGAGTCTCATGCTAGGACGGAACGGCCGTCCAGTGTTTCCAGGGTTTTCATGATGGTCTAGCTTCAATTGACTCATTAATCAATTTATTAAATTACTATAATATCCACAAAACCCCTCTTTGATTATATTTATAATTGATTAATCAGTGAGTAGTGAATAATGTCATGCATGTCAAGTACTTCTTAGTGCTGATAGGAATTTGTTGACTATCCTCATTCAACACCTTAAATTGCAATATAGTGTTCATAATGCGAGTCACTGAGACTACTGTTCACATTTCATGTTGACCAATCAATCTCGATTAGTGTAAACTGACTAATTCTACATTTTAGATATGTGATATTCTGGTGGACCTTCATAAAGAACTTTGTTTCGACTTGCAAATTTAATCACTGGGAAATAGGTTGTTATAATAGTAATTATCATTCTCACAGCATATGAGTACTAGTCGAGGAAAACACATAAGTTTTGTCATTTTCCGAAACTTTCGTCTTTATTTTACGTCATCAAGTCATTTGTGACACACTCATCATAAAGTTTTGTGGTGGCTTATAGTAGAATCTAGGACGAACGTTTCGTCTTATCCGAATCTCATCAGGTGGATGAACCTGGATTTTAGCGTTAATGCTCATGTTGATGGTCCACTAAACTCACTGGATAGCGCTTCGTTGTTTGAAGCAAAAGCACCTGAGTTCAAGCCTCAGTGTGAACATTAACACTATGATCCAGTATATCCAGATAACGATTCCCAAATAGGAAGAATATTACTTCAAATATACCCCTGATAGATACATATCAAATTTTAATTATTATTATTTTTCATTATTTTAATGATGAATTATCACTGAATGAATGAACTATTGAAAGTGATAGAATGTTAGATAGAGCTCCCTACTGACAACGAGTACTATACTCGATATTAATGAACCTCTATTTATTGAAGGTCATTTTTGTCACCTCTTGAGCATTCCTCCAAAAGATCTTCAAAAGCAATGGAAAGACAATAAATCGTTTCATCTAATCAGTATCCAATGAAAACGTTCTAGAAACTTCCAGAAATATACCACATTGATTAAATGATTACTTATCGTGTTACTAAAGATTCATTATTTTTATTCAGAATGTTCTATAATCTCTTAGTTACTATGATACCGTAAATACTCTTGTTGCCTGTACAACAATTAACCTTAAAGCAAAGCTTCTCTTTTCACTTCCTGTTTTTTCTCTACTATTCGTAACTCAAATTCGAGAGAGTTTTGGGAGACAATTCTAGGAACCAACTGGGTAACCATTATCTTAAGAGTTCAATTACAACACAATATCATTTGAAATCAAACAAAACAAGAACTAATGATCTTCTTTTCTTTATTCTTCAACAGATGGTCCAATACATAGAAAATGTTTAGAACATTGGGATGCATGTTGTGATTTCTATTGTCATTTATTGAATAATTCATTCAATAATTCATTATTACAAACATCATCAACATTTGAAACAAGTTCAACAATAAAACCAACAGTATCATCATCATCATCATCAATTCTATCAAATCTCAATGATTCACCTTTACATAAATCATTTATGGAAGGTTTGTTTCGACTATATGAATGTCCAGCATGTGGTCAATATACATTATATAGATCATCAATTCATTCAACAGTATCTTCCACTTCTACTACTACTGGTAAGTGGATATTTATTCTTATGATAAAAATGATCACAATTGATTGATCACTGGGTGGTGATCAATGTCATGAGTGTCCACTCCTTATCATTAGTGCAGATCAAATGCTATCGACCATGTTACAATGTGGCCACCAGTCTAAGTGACTCGACACTGCGGGCACTATTGTGAGATTAGATGGTGGTTGCAGGTAGTCGACAGGAAACTCTGGACCCGGGTTTCGTGCTACTTGGCATTCGTCAGCAAGGTGTACCTATAATCTTGAAGGAACTGGTGCTCCCTGACGGATTCGATCCCATATCACCCAACTTCATAGTCAGAGACGTTACCACTGAGCTATTCGGGCCGCGACCGACCTCCTGTAGGACTGAGATGTAATCACAATTGATTGATCACTGAGTGGTGATCAATGTCATGCTTGTCTAGAATTTGACCTTCATCATATTGTTGACTTTGAGTAATTGTAAAAATGATCTATAGTATTATAATTTTTTCTCTCTCATTAATTATTCAACAAATGACTGGATGATATTTGAGCTATACTAATGTGCTATTGATGAACTTCAACCATTTCCTAGGGTTGAGAAATAGTTATAAATTAGCACGAAGAACTAGAAATGGAAGTTAGATTTTTGGGTTAAGAGTCAGGATTACGGTGTCTGTTTTGAACTAACATTGTAATGAACAAGAACAAGAATGGGGGCAATTGAATGTATTCGAACACGAAATGACAGAACATCTCAATAAAATCTGAGAAGCATATAGTAAATAGTTAATTTGGAAAATATCAATCCATTATCTTAAACTGAACTGTTCCTTTTGCAAATATTAGTCGATTGTCTCAGATTTTATTGTCTATGCATTTTCATATACTGATTGCATTCCGTTTCCGTTCTTTCTTTATCGATCTTCTACTGAAATACATTCTATGCCTGACCATTGTTATATACTACTTATATGGATATAAGTAACATCTTTTATTGTAACATTGAATATTATTGATTTGAATCTCATGGAAGGCATCAGCTCTCTTGCCATTAGAGATAAGCCAATGTTAACAGTATACATTGACCGAAAAAGATTTTTTTTACCACTTATCTTCAACACCTCAACATCAAAACTATACTGTATGAGATGTTAAGTCACTTAGAATGGTTGGCACATTGTAACTTGATCTATGGAATTCAACTAGCATTAAATATCACATATCATATCAGCGTTGAAAAGAAAGCATTTGAAATTAGTCAAGTATCCTACAATAGTACATTTCGTGGAGATTGTACTAATTTTTATGGTTAAGATCATGAGTCAATTGAAACAAGATCACCATGGAAAACCTGGAAACATTAGACAGCCGTTTCGTCTTATTGTAATACTCCTTAGCAGTGTGTATCCACGATCTCGTTTCGCAAAATTCAAACACAAGGCCTATCAGTCTCGCGCGTGAGAGAGCGAGCGGGCGAGCGAGCGAGCGCATAACCATTAGACCACTTAGCCAACTAGTATCTAATGGTATTAATGTCTAACTTTCAGGTTTTCCATGGTGATCTAGCTTTAATGCTCTCATGATCTCAACTATAGAAATAATATATATTCATTTACATATTGTCAAATTTTAATGCGGATGAATAGAGAACAACAGCTGATCCAAATATTCATTACTATCAGTTTACAATAATTTATTAATAAAATTATTTTTTATTCTTTTCACATTTTGTCCATAAAAATTTATTTACCTATTTAATTGTTTACAAATTTATTCTTATTTAAGGACATTGTTGTCATAAAATGGGATCATTTGATAATCATTAGGCTGTAAACAATTTGTGCGCACTTATGTAGATGCATGCATACATATATGGACATTAATGTTGTATGTATGTATGTGTATGTGTGTATGTGTGTGTGTGTGTGAAAGAGACAGGGAGGAGTAGCGTAGTCAAATATACAAACATTTTCTAAGTTTAAATATATTGGCGTTTACCCAGATCAGGTAACAAAATAGAAATGATGTGTTTCTGAGTTAGATAGTTTGTTATTCACGTGAAATCTTTGTATTTTTTACCTAATTATCATCCTGTCAGAGATGTGAATGCTTTTCCAACTTAAAAAGTACATTACATTTTGAAATTGGTTATTGGTTATAATATTTAGATTCGGATATTATATACATATGTAGCAAATTTACTTTTATTATTATGCCCTGGTACGTACGACCGTAGGGAGAGTCAACTCTCTCTCTCTCTCGCAGCTCTCAAATGGCCACGCGTATGCATCCACTGACAGAGAAGTCCTACTCACTATACTCTCGCGTCTGGGGTGTTTTTCATGGAATTAAGGGGATGGAAAGCGAATGTTCGACGCTTTAAACGAGTTGGTGGATATGGAAGATCCATCTAGGGGAGTTGGAAAACCCTCATTCCAAACCAGTGGTGAACATGGAGCGAACAAACGGCACATGAACCTATTGTTGGTCACCGCCTACCATGTGACTGCATCTCATGACATTACTCCACTGTCTTGTGGATTAGACCTTTAGGTCGAAGGCTCCGGGTGTGGCCATGTGAGAAAACCACCCCACTTCGGTTTTGGCACCCGGACAGTATCACAACCGACACACAAATCAAGTGACTTGTGTGGTGCATATGTATTCGATGCCCGTTTGCACTAACATTTTTGTGTTAAATTAAATAAATTATGAACAAAGGTCAGTTCAAAGAAACTTTCCAACTGTGCTATATCAACTACTTCGTTAAACTTAGAAAATTATCAGTGTGGGTGTAAGTGGAAATTGTAGTAATTTTAATAGTTAAATTCATAAGTCGATGTAAGCTAAACCACCATTGAAAACCTGTAAGCACTGGACAGCCGTTTCGTCCCATTATTGCGCTCCTCAGTAGTGCTCATCCACCTGACTCGAACGCAGGACCCTCGGCTTCGCGTGTCAAGCCTTAACCAACGGTGTAAATGTCTAACTTTAATCGATCCATGATCTTGCGCGACACTCCATCCATCATCTGAATTAGATATCTGTTTCTACCCTACACGACTGGACTCCACTGGTTACGGGTTATGCAAGATCATGGATCGATTGAAGTTAGGTATTAACACCGTTGCATACTTATTCAGTGGTGTATAGCTTAACTGTTCGCAAACGAGACCAGAGGACTTGGGTTCGAACCCAGCTTTCAGGATTGTGAATACACTACTGAGGAGTCCTATAATAGGACGAAATGACTATCCAGTGCTTAAAGGTTTTCAATGGTGGTCTAGCTTACATTGACTTACATTGAATTCAACTACTAAAAACTTAGAAAATATTCAGAAAATTTATCAAATCTTAAGATCTATTCATGAAAACAATTTACCATGTTTCATCGAGTCAATAATAGGATTCAATGAGAATCATGCAAAACATTGAATATATACTATCTATTCTAATTACAAATAGTAGATGAATCCAATTAATCTATTTATACATTAGGTTAATTAACTTGAAGTGTTGAATTTCTAATTAATTATTTTTTCGCGCCAGGCGCTTAACCAACTAGACCACTGAGCCGGCATCCAACGGTGTTAATGTCTAACTTCAACCAATCCACGAAGTTGCGCCACCGTACACCATTGTCTTCAGTGAGCTGATATCTCACAACAGACCTGGTTGAACTCCACTGGTAACGGCTTCTCACTAGAACTTCAGGAGTATCTCTTGAAGTCAGTCACTAGTGATAGGTCCTGGGTTCGAATCTCGCGAGGAGCGGGATCGTGGATGCGCACTGCTGAGGAGTCCCATACTAGGACGAAACGGCCGTCCAGTGCTTCCAGGTTTTCCATGGTGGTCTAGCTTCAATGGATTCATGATTTCAACCAGTGAAATTTCTAAAATCTCCACACAATCCCTTCTGATAATTATTTTTTCATTGGTTTCTAATTTATTATAAATTGAATTAAAAACATTTAATGAATTCATTTAAATGATTATAAGCTTATTGTATTCAGATCATTTAGATAATTAAAACAATCAGATCTATTTATTTCTTGATGTTGACAATTTCACATGTGGATTTGTATGCATGACTACATGTGGATATTGTGGGAACTTTCACACACACACACACACACACACAAATAAGGACAACTATATATAGAGAGAACCATACACCTTTATGACATACACATGATTCCTAAATCTTACCATTTAGTTTCTTTTCTTTTCTTTTTTTTAATTGAAAGAAAGTTCGATAATATTATTGATTGATAAGAATACAATAGAGGGTCAAACTTAAAACAATCAAAATGAATTTTTAGTCAGTTCCTAAGTAATTAGGAAATAGTTTATATAAATGAAAGAGATTTTATATTGTTAACGGATCTATCATTTCTTTCATACATAAATTCATTCTTATAAATATATAGATTGTTGATCTTTTTGAACTCTTGAAAGGTTTCGAAAAGATTTTCAAGAATCTTTATATTTGCAAAAATGGATAGTGGTTAGCATTGGAATCTGGGATGAGCGTTTTGTCGTATTTGGGACTCGTCAACTAGGTGTACCCAAAGGGGACATCAACTCTGAGGTGTAGGTACATCCGGCTGACGAGTCCCCAAAATAGGACGAAACATGCGTCCTGGATTCCACTGCTAACTACTATCCATCTTTACATATAATGCTTGTGAATTAAGGTATTTTATTTATTTATTTATTTGAACACATAAATATTGGTACAGGGGGGCACCAAATATATATGCGCCACACAAAACAATGATAATTCGAAGAGAAGGAGAAAAGAGAAAAAAAAGTAATGAACGTGGGGAATTATAAAAAAAAGGGAGAGAGAGAGAACAATGGTGGGGGAAACGGAAAGGTACAATCAGAAGAGATCTTTCAGTTAAGGAAGATACAACCACTTTTTATGAAGAAAGTAAAAGAAGGTTACAGCAGGATCGCCATTGGCTTCTATTCTGAGCCATATCTGATAACGTCTCTAGCCACTGCGTTACACCGTCTCTCGGACCCCAACCAGGGAGTCGTGAAGGACCAACAGAAGCTAGCCCTATGCAGCTTTCTTTCATACCACGACACCATGTCATATACTGACCACCTCTCCGCTTTTTCCAACCAGTCCCAGAGTCGGCAAATAATGCACGACGAGGAATTCTCTGGGACGACATTCGTAGAACATGTCCAAGCTACCGAAGTCGGTGTTTCAAGATGGTGACACCAATTTCATTATCGTCTCTGTGACCGAACACTCGATGTCGAACCTCTGCATTACTGACATGGTGTTGCCACTGGATGCCAGCAATTAAGGTACCATTGAGGCGATGCGCACAGTATGCACATATGCCAATAAGGCAGAGACTGATCAATCGCAGTCCTAAATATCAATGGATAGATTCAAGTAAACAATACCAAGTGAATTTAATCTCTACATTGTTCTTAATTAGGATTAGAATTAGGGGTTAAGGTTTAGGGTTTTCATCATGAATCGATATCAGTTATAATGTGGAAATGTTATGTAGCCACATGGGTGAGTGAATTTCTCTGATAATTACAAGAAGTATTATATAATTTGTTTGTCTTTAAAACAGAGTGCTACCAAGTTAAGGTTTGTTTCAGGATTTAGTAAATGATTACTTCATATAAGAGGATAGTTCTCATTGAGGATTTCATTTCATTCATTTGAAGCTATCCAGATATGATTTTTATGAGTACACCACTGTTGTACATCCTAACTTGTCGAATGAAAGCATAAGCAAAGAGAAAGCAGGAGCTGGAAGTCAAAGCCTCAGTGAAAATTTTGCTCTCATATGAAGCACTCACTCACTAAATAAATAGGAAAATGACCGATAAATGCTTGATGCCCAATACATATTGAGCAATAAACAATGAATAGGCTACAAATTTACGGACACGTATCTTATCTCCTTCTCATTATAAATGATATTTGAATTTCACCCATAAACCTTAAAAGTGCATTCTCGATCCTGACTGACTAGTCTCTGTACTGTAATATACTGTATATTATATTTATAATTCAAAAATTGATTGGAGTTGGAATCGCACCACTAAATATCAACTCATCAGTTCTAATGATTAGGCATCCATCGTGAGATTAAACGGTCTTCGATTTAATCCTTGGGGGCGGGGGTTTATGGATGTGCGTTTCCGAGGAGTCCTATACTAGAACAAAACACATATTCAGCGTTGATTACGGGACTCGAACCTAGTGTTTTTTAAAAATTTTAAACACTAACGGATTATCAAGCTTAGATTTGAACATCAACAAGTAGATACAGTCACATTCAGCTGACTAATAGTCCCACTGAACGAATATAGCTCTGGACAGATCACATACACTTATATATCTTGTTAATGCTTTGATGTCTGTTTAATTTTGTAATCATAAGATAAACGGAGATTCACTGTTTTACTGGTTCATAGGTCAAACACCACAAACATTATCGTCTACAACATCCAATCATTTTACAAGTGTTTTATGCGCTATTCAATATGCCACTGAAAAATTAAATCAATCTGAAAATTCAATTCAATCAACATTATTACAATCTGATCCATATTCACAATGTAAACAATATACCTCAAATTCACCAGTGGATTATATTGGATCCATGGAATTATCACCAAATTTCTTAGATGATTTAAAATCTCAATCGAAAATACCCATAACAAATTCATCGACAACGGGTAGGTCACATTCCTATGTTCAACCACCATTGATCACAGATCGGTTCAGTGATATTTTAAGGTAAGTCAGTTTGGTACTCCCACTACTAATTATACTACTGCTACTCTCATTAATACTACTGTATTGAATGAGAGCATCAGTAGGGACAACCAAATGTATTTGAACACAACATTACAGAATCTGTTGGTAAACTCTGAGAACCATATAATGAATACTTCATTTGCAAAATATCCATCAACTGTCTTAAACTTGAGTGTTCCTTCGTTTCTATATATAAATCAATCTCTGTTCTCGTTCTCTCTCTTGTTCTCGTTCGATTTTCTCAACATTCTACCTCCAGGCATTCCACTTTCGATTGGTGATACATATTACTTATATCTGTGAGCATCAGTAGCATATACCTCACCACTACTGCAATAACCGTGATAATAATAATAATAATAATAATAATAATAATGTTGTCACAACGTTTTACTGATGTCAGTCAAATGTACAGTTCAGTTCATAATGAATTTGTATTTATCCAGCTGTCTGGGTGTTATAGTGTTTTTCATTTATTAAACTATAATGAAGTATGCAAGATTATTATGCGATGTAGGTCATTTTATCACGTAAAGAATTTGAAATAGAATCCATTTGAAAACTCATTGGATACATGGAATATGTTAACACGTAATAACAATCATAATGATTTACGGTATCCAACACTATACAACTTAGATGAATCTTATTTATTTATTTAAATACATAAGCATTGGTACAAGGAGGCACCAAAAAGATATGCGCCACACAAGTCACTTGATTTGTGTGTGAGGTGTGATATTGTCCGGGTGTCCAAACCGAAGTAGGTGGTTTTCTCACGGGGATACACCCGGAGCCTTCGACCTAAAGGTCTGATCCACAAAGAAGTGGAGCAACGTAAAGAGATGCAGTCACATGCTAGCCGGTGACCAACAATAGATTCATACGCAGTTTCTTCCTTCAGGATCCTTGAACCCATGTGCACCATTGATTTGGAATGGGGTTTTTTCAACTCGTTTAGGTGGATCCTTCATATCCACCAACTCGTTTAAACCGTTGGACATTCGCATTTCGTGCTCTCAATTTCGTAAACAACACCCGTGGTGCGAGAAGGCAATCAGTAGGACTCCCCTGATAGTGGTTGTATGCCCGTCTCCATGTGTGGGCATTTCGAGAAGGAGATCTGACTCTCACCACTCTCGTCCTTGCTAGAGCATTTGGAGGCCTAGATGAATCCAAAATTAGACGTAGAAATAGCTATAAAAAATAAACTATAGCTTCAAATACGTTATAGGCTTCATGTTCAGTGGTTTGTCTTGAGGTGGGTGGGGTTCTCATTGGGTCGATCACAACTATCTCATACACTGTAGTTATCAGCGGCTGATCTTTATTTGAAATCACTTCGTAATGAGAAAAAACGATCTATTATGCAATATTTGTTACAAATTGACTTTAGTTAATATGTTATTAAAATTAAAAGATATTGGATAGGTGTTTCGTTCTAGTATGTGACTCTTCAGCAGTGACATGTTGCAAATTGATTGGATTCAATAATGCTTAACATCAGGTCTCCGCTCAGTAATCTAAAGGTGTTATATTTAGAGATTAGACTTTTGATATACCGCGTATAACTTGGGCACTCGAATGCTAGAACCCTTCCAAGTCGTAAATGAGAAGACAGAAGACAAGTGAAAGGAATGCTATTCCAAACAGTGTCAATTGTGGTACAAAACTATCAGGTATTTATAGTTTTAGTAAAAACAAATCATCATTATAATTGCCCAATCTCCACACAGTGGGTTATTAGCATTTGCTCAATAGGGAAGCTACACGTATTTATTCTGGAATATTCTTCCAAAAGTTGATTGGATGGAATATCTTCGGCTCTTTCTGAGTTTCATAAAGCTTCCTCGAGTTCACCTGTGGACCGTCCTCACACCTCCTTCCTTTAAAGTCTGTTATGTAAAACTTTTTTCTCGGATCCACTTGAAACTTGGTTACCTCATTCCTTTTACGGTTCATCACTCTCTAGGGTTGTACCGCTTTGCCACTTATCCGGAAATTTGAAGTTCCTACCTACTTAGCGCGGTATCAGTTTTACACTGCTAATGAATCTTATTTGAAGATGAAATAACCAACGATATCTGAACTTAAATCAGTTTAAAAAGAACTGTATATATTGAATGAATCCTATTTGAAATTGTAACATTTGTCACTTTTCTTCATTTTGTGTTTGTACTTTTACACTTGTTTCCTTTCAACGACAACAACAATAACAACAACAACAAACAAACTATTTATAGACGATTTTCATTAAATCGTGAAACAAATGATCCTACTAAATTTTCAACTAGTAATACATCAAGTAGTATGAGTAGTGGATATCACAGTGGTTTATCAACCGGTGAGCATACTGTTGATCCTAGTCGCCGTTGTAGTGATCAATTCATGTTATCAATGAAGGGTGAAGATATTATGAAAGGGAATGAAGATAATTGTATACCATGGGGAATTACAAATATTCAAACAGGTCAATCAATACCAAGAGCATTAATTAAAGGGAAATTATCAAGTAAGTATTTATTATTTTGTGATATTCTATTTATTGTGTATAAATTAGTTGAAGTTAGACAATAACACTGTTGGATACTGGCCGGCTCAGTGGTTAAGAGTACGCTCACGAGACTGATAGGTTCTGGTTTCGAATCTCGCAAGGTGAGATCGTGGATGTGCACTGCCAAGGAGGAGTCTTACAATAGGACGAAACGGCCGTCCAGTGTTTCCAGGTTTTCCATGGTGGTCTAACTTCAATTGACTCATGAACTCAACAATTGAATTGTTCTGTATATATCCGATTCTTTATTCATTCATTGAATTGTTGTGATTGTGATGAGTAGTATAATATACATCCATTAATAATTCACTAACCATCTATAGAAAGATAAAAGCGTATGATAATTGTGTAGAAAGTTTTGTTTCAAAAGGGTGAATAATAATGTTCACAACTCAAAAGCACATATAATCGGATTCGTCAAGACAAGGATTTGTGTGATCGAGGTGGCTTTGATAAAGTGAATAATGCGTCAATTAAAAATAGTCCCTCAACACTTGAATCTCTTACCTACCATGTAGATCTGTGATAGCATGTGATCTATCCAAGTTCCTCAGTACGTCCTATGGGTGAAAACGATTAGCACAAATTTCAAATCCTACATTTTCAAGTTGATGACATTTGTCAGTGAAGAATCTCTGAAATCATATGGAAAGAGGCGCTTCATCAAAAATTGAAATCATTATTCACGAAGAAAATAGCTTAACAATAAGGCATTCAACTGTCATATTGGTTAATATGAATTCAATTCATTGAAACACAGTTAATTTAGTACAAATCATTCAGATGAGCTTCACAAGTCTAAACTTCATTACCATTTAGTTCCGACAATATATAACAGGGTACTTGAATAATCACAACTAATGAAGTTTTATTAATCGATTTTTCATCTACCTTGTACTTATTACTGCTTACTCAGTGGTTTCACTATACATGAGTAATCCACTAAAAGCATCTACGATTAAATACTAGCAACCTATCTTTAAAAAATTCAGCTTTACAGGTATATAACATTATGGAAAGAATTTTTGTTTGGTATTTCTCTGTTTCATAAGGTAGACAAACATTTCGTCTTATATTTTAGAGAGGACGGTTTGTAACTATGTCCTGATTTCATTACTCATTAATCGATCACAGTTGATAAAACTTCCGAGATAAATGAAATATTTTAATAGTTGAATTCATGAGTTGATCTAAGCTAGACTACCATTGAAAACCTGGAAGCGCTAGATTATCTTTTTGTTCTAGTGTGGCATTATTCAGCAGTGCACATCCACGATGCCACATACGAGACTCGAACCCATGGACTTCGGTTTTGCGTGTGGATGCTTAGGCTCTACATCACTGAACTGAGTATCCAACGGTATTAATGTCTAACTTCAATCGATACATGATCTTGCACAACCCTTCATCCATTGTCTAAAGTGAATAACTGTCTCACACTGGACGCGGACTGGACACCACTGGTCAAGACCTCTCACTAGAACTGCGAGAAATCTATCATGAAGCTAGTCATTAGTGAGCATATGATGAAATGAAATAGCTGACTCATTCCCAATTGAATAGCCTTTAGCGAAATCAACGCTGTAGACACTACAATTAGTAATGTTAGTAGTCTAATAAGTAGTTTCATGAGATTTTAACAGATGATTGAGTACAGGGTTTGAGAGATTATAGACAAATATAATCGATAAATCTTGAGTGCGACTTAAAGTGTTTGTTTTTTTCATTGTTTCATCTATCTTTTTGTCAATTAAATAACAAAGATGATGCAACTATGTTAGATGATGTTATCAAGTATTCGATTGATTCATCTATGCCAACAACAAGAAAGAGTTATTCATCAACTGTAAACGTGGATGATCTTTTTGATAGAAGTTTAGATACTACTTTGAATAACAATACTACTAACAACAATGACAACAACAACAACAATAACAATGTTGGTAACACTAATCTTATGAATAGACCTCTTTCAGCGATTGGTAGTCGACGTCATCATTCTACATCTGATGGTTCTGGAAATATCAGCTCTTCAACTGTTGGAGGTACTACTAATACTACGATGACTATTACGACGACGACAACGACTACAAATGCTTCTTATCATCATAATGTTAAATCGAATTCTGTATGGTCAAATGATTCAATTAGTAAATCGAGAATGACACAGTGGCATGGTAATAGTAATGTTGAAACGAAAATGAAAAAGATTGTTAATACTAAAGGAAATATATTTCTACAAAGGAATGATTTCAATGTATTCATGGTTAGTTGTGTTTAATGTTAATCATTGAGGGTTGTTTTGTTTGTTTACGGTATTGATTATGAGCTGATAAAAATTAAGATACTACTAGAGATCTACTAGGTTTGAAGTGTCTACGAGCTCACTTCATCCGCGAACGGAAAAAAGACTCAGTGACCAAAAACCAATAAGCCAGCTATTTGATGCGTTCCAGCCCCGCTAACTAGAGGAAGAAGTTCAAGCTTGGAATGGGGAAGTGTATTCTGCAAACATCCAGGAACGAGCTATCCACGACAAACACAAATCAAAACGTATATATATACAGTAAAAAACCGTCCTTGGGGGGAGTTACCAAATAGCATGTAGAATTATGGTCTACTATGATATTAATACTGCTCTAATAATAGGCCTAATCCTAAAATTGTAGATTTGTCATGATATAACTGCCTAATCTATAAGATCTTACGTGGAAGTCACATCATCGTCTACACCAACTCACTGCATCGTAACAACTACCAATACATGATGGAGAACAAGCTTGGGCTAGAGATAGGACAATATATTTAATATGAATAAAAGATATAAGGTAACAATCAGCAGGGACCACTCCTGCATGGTAGAGCCATGCCATCCGACCAACTCGAATTCATTCATTTCATCGTTCCCGCCTTCTCCATCCTCGGGTATTTCTCCGCGTTAAATGTTGAATGTCTATTTCCCATATTGTTTCATGTTAGGGCCCAATGCCACTACAAGCATACTAAAAGACACAACGGACCAATAACATTTAAGATATTTCCAAAGTGGGAAATATGACATGAAGGTGACAAGAGCGCTTTTGTCACAAAAACAAAGAAATTCAAATTTTCTAAATAAAATTACAAAATTAGGTCCTTTCCTAAATGAGTACTGAGGATCTAACGTCCCCAATAAGTTCTAGAAGTACTGAAGAAATATTTTGTTCATTTTAAGACAATTTGACGGTGTATATTCATTGCGTTGGTAAATATTAGTTCCAGGACATTCAGATCTTGTCAGGGAAAGATTTTCAAATTCAATTAATTCACGATATTAAGTAACTCTCATCCATTGTGATTTTATTTTATTATTTTATTTGAACACATAAATATTGGTACAGGGGGGCACCAAATATATATGCACCACACAAAACAATGATAATTTGAAGAGAAGGAGAGAAGAGAAATAAAAGTAATGAACGTGGGGAATTATTAAAAAAAAGGGAGAGAGAGAGAGAACAATGGTGGGGGAAACGGAAAGGTACAATCAGAAGAGATCTTTCAGTTAAGGAAGATACAACCACTTTTTATGAAGAAAGTAAAAGAAGGTTACAGCACGATCGCCACTGGCTTCTATTCTGAGCCATATCTGATAATGTCTCTAGCCACTGTGTTACATCGTCTCTCGGACCCCAACCAGGGAGCCGTGAAGGACCAACAGAAGCTAGCCCTATGCAGCTTTCTTTCATACCACGACACCATGTCATAAACTGACCACCTCTCCGCTTTTTCCACCCAGTCCCAGAGTCGGCAAATAATGCACGACGAGGAATTCTCTGGGACGACATTCGTAGAACATGTCCAAGCCACCGAAGTCGGTGTTTCAAGATGGTGACACCAATGGAATTATCGTCTCTGTGCCCGAACACACGATGCCGAACCTCTGCATTACTGACATGGTGTTGCCACTGAATGTCAGCAATCCTTCGGAGACAACGATGATCAAACACAGAGAGTCATCTAACATCCTCAACTCGGAGAGGCCAGGTTTCACAAGCATAGAGCAAAACTGCTCTCACCGTCGCGTTGTAGATCCGACCTTTTACAGCCAGACTAACATCACGAAGGCGCCAAAAATGGCCCAGATTGGCATAAGCCGCTCTGGCTTTCACTATACGTGCATTGATCTCATCACTCACACCACCACCAGCACTTATGCAGCTACCTAGATAAACGAACTTCTCTGACCGATGTTGCCGGAGCAGCAGGCCAGTTGAACTGCCCTTCAAAAAATTCTGCCCATCGTCCAAGACGTCGATGGATGTTAGTGATTGGCGTTCCGTCATCGTCGCAAATTGTTTCGCTCACACCAGACTTCTTGCTGCCAGTGGCTCGGATGAGTTGGAAGAGCTTCCGGTAATTACCAGATGCAGCTGCTGCTTCCATCTCATTAGCACGCTCCGACCACCAGGCTTCACGGTCCTTACGCAAGCTTTGCCCGATTTCGTTACATAACATCCTTCGTCCGTGGTCAAACTCACGGTCACCCGGAGTAGACCGACGGGCTTCAATCAGTTGTAAGGAACCAGAAGAAACCCAGTGCTTGTAAGCGGGACGTTTCGCTAACCCACAACAGACTGTACCCGCCATTTTCATGGCGTCATGCAATTGCAACCAATGCTCATCTATACTTGACAGTGGAATGGTAGCTAGCCTAGAAGATAGCTCGGTTCGGTACATACTAGCAACAGAAGTTGCAGCCAGCTTGCTAACATCAATCCTGTGGTGGCGATCACTTCGTTGTCCACTGAAAAGTAAGGTAAGATTGGCGCAGACCAGAGCATGATCAGATTCCAGACAGGTACTCCAAAAGGAGCGGCAGTCTTGTACACAACCGCGCCAGCGGTAGCTGATCGCGATGTGATCAATCTGAGTCCAGGCTTGAGATGCAGAAGGGGGACGCCAGGTGGCACATCGGCGATGACTGTGCCGAAAGTTAGTGCTAGCCAGAAACAGGTTGTGGTCTGTGCATAGTTGCAGTAGACGTTCCCCGTTATCTGTCCTGCGACCAACGAGTCCCCATCGGCCACCTAAACGACTCTCTTCTGTGCCTAGACGCCCGACCTGAGCATTCAAGTCTCCAGCTAGTACTACAATATCTGTCGAACGCACTTTCTGGAGAAGAACAGTTAGCTGATGGTAGAACTCGTCCTTGATTGCATCCGGGCTGCAATCTGTCGGGGCATAGGCGGAGATGACGAAAAGACATCGTTTCTCACGCCGATTTCTTCTCACTTTGATGGAACTTTCTAATCTAACAGCACATAACCGACTGTTAATGGGGATCCAGTCGACTAGTGCTGCCTCAGCTCTTGCGCTTAGTGCGACAGCAACGCCAGCAAGACCAGACGAAGATGCCACAGGGTCCCCGGATAAACGCACATAAAACAAGCTTTTTGAAGCGACAGATGGAGAGCGAACTTGTAGTACTTCACCAGAGTCTTGAATACGGGTCTCGGATAGACAACACACATCAATATTAAGACTTTCCAAAGACATAGCCAGCCCTATCTGTTGTCCGACCTGCATAAGTGTGCGAACGTTGAAGGCAGCCAGTTTGAATGGTGCACGTGGTTTCAGAAAAACTGCTTCAGTACTCGTATTCGGTGGCAACATACAATTTTCAACCAGGCAGTGACTCGAGAACGTTTAGATAAAGCTGAATTTTCACCATAGGCGAGCTGCTGTCTAGGTCGAAACGGATACATAAAGTAGGAGTAAAAGAGGGTGAATATATGACGTGGTAAAATAATAATAATAATAATAATAATAATAATAATAATAATAATAATAGTACCAGTCATTTCAATGTTAGTCGGAGAGAAACGAATATTTTCCATAAGCAGATAGTTCATCATGGTTTTAGTGTGTGGGCTGAGATACCGCCCGGGTGCCCAAACCGAAACAGGTGGTTTTCTTAGGGGGCCACACCCCGAGCCTTTGACCTAAAGGTCTAGTCCACAAGGTAGTGGAGCATCGTGAGGAGATGCAGTCCCATGGAAGCCGGTGACCAAAAGTTGGTTCATACGCCATTTGTTCCTTCAGGATACTGGAGCCCATGTGCACCATAGAATTGGGATCCGGTTATAGCGCCGGACATTTGTTTTTCGTCCTCTCATTTTCGTAAATAACACCCCCGCCACGAGAAGTCAGTGAGTAGGACTTCCCTGGCAGAGGCTGTATACGCGTGGCCGTGTGAGAGTATTCCGAGAGGGAGGGCGAACCCTTCCCGCTCACGGCCATACCAGGGCATTTGGGGGCTTGCTATTGATATTGATGAATTTCATCTGGACTCCATTGACAATCCCGTAACTGATGTCAGTTGGAAATAAATACTCTCTATAAATCTGGTATTATTTCATGGAATCCAATTGAAATATAGCAGATCATAATGTGAGTAAACTAACGATGAGTTGAAATAGAATATGAATAAATTAATTGAAACTTCTTGGACATCCTAGTTTTCGAAGATTGTCGATCCATGGTGTTAAGCTATAAGTTCAACAGTTTTCACATTCTCCAAATGCTAAGATGACAATGTTATACAGAAATCATTCAAAGGAACTTTAAATCAAAGAATAAAAGTTCTACATAGTTGGTATTACTTCATCCTAGTACAATCTTGATGAAATGAATTCGCTAGTTCATATTGAAAAGAATACACTAGAAGATCAAACAAATCTATCTTGATTTTTATGATAATAATAAACTAGTATTAAATAATTGTATCCGTTTACTAGGAAACCTTGTCTGTTTTACTTAAGATTCATGGTAGGTAACACTTATCCTATCCTCATAGTGTATTTTGAATCTTCATGTAAGACAATATTGAATTATTAAGGGTTACAATCAGAGACGTTTTCATCGAGTTATGTTCTCTTGTACCTCTGAGATACTTAAACTAATCAGTCATTGAGTATTAACCAATATTTGTATATATATTGATTGAGTAACAACAAAGCTTTAAATATGTAAATGCTTTTGATACTAAATAAAGTAAGTAGGTCAAGTGTGAAAAACAGTAACAATGTACATAAAATATAGATTAAATTAGTTTCCTTTATTATAAAGTACATCATATATTTCATTGATTAAGATCATGAGTCAGTTGAAGCTAGACCACCATGGAAAACCTGGAAGCACTGGACGGCCGTTTCGTCCTATTATGGGACTCCTCAGCAGTGCGCATCCACGACCTCACCCCCCTGCGAGATTCGAACCCAGGACCTACTGGCTTCGCGCGCGAGCACTTAACCACTAGACCACTGAGCCGGCATCCAACGGTGTTAATGTCTAACTTCAACTAATCCACGAAATTGAGCGACACATCCACCATTGTCTTCAGTGAGTTTCTATCCCACAACAGACCTGGTTTGAACTCCACTGGTCACTACTTCTCACTAGAACTCCAGGATATACCTCTTGAAGCCAGTCACTAATGAGCATATGTTGATTATTATCAGAAGGGGTTTTGTGGAGATTGTAGTAATTTCATTGATTAAGATCATGAGTCAGTTGAAGACAATGGTGGATGTGTCGCTCAATTTCGTGGATTAGTTGAAGTTGGAGATTAACACCGTTGGATGCCGACCGGCTCAGGAGTCTAGAGGTTAAGCGCTCGTGCGCGAGACTGATAGGTCCTGAGTTTGAATCTCTCGAAGCGGGATCCTGGATGTGCACTGCTTAGGAGTCCCATAGTAGGTCGAAACGGCCGTCCAGTGTTTCCAGGTTTTCCATGGTGGTCTAGTTTCGATTGACTCATGATCTTAACTATTACAAAAACTTCTTAGAAGTATTTGATGGTATAAAATGGTCATGCGAATTTTAGTTCTAAATTTGTATATAGAGAGATTAGATCAATACTAATCAATTTTTCTTGCCGGCCACATTGCTAGAACATAAGGCATGATATCTAAATTGTTTATTTAAATTCAATAATTGCTTTTCTTATTCACTCTTTACTGTCTATCATCTAGCCAGAATGTAAGGAAAATCTCCCATAGAGGAGTTAATTACTAACCGGTTATAGGGAGTTTTAGGAAATGGTATCATCTTGCCTTGAACAACTGTTCTGTTAAGTGAATCATCATTATTATCATCAACAATCAGTTTAGAATTATCTCTCCTATATTTTTTTAACTAAGCTTTTATATAGCTTAGTTCATGCATTTAATTGGACAGACTATGGTGAATCTTCCGATTGATGTTCGGGGATACACACTGTGTATATTGCCTTCATATTGCCTTAATTCATAAGTATTATAAGCGAAGATGAATAGTGGTTAGCAATGGAATCCAGGACACACTTTTCGTCCTATTTGGGACTCGTCAGTTGGATGGACCTGCAACTCACATTTGATGTTCATTCTGGGACTCGAACCCAGTGCCGTTCACTTTAAACGGAATCGCGTTATTCACTTAGTTACTGAGTCTTGATAACCACTTGCTTGTGCAGTGGAGAGACTTATGCAATAAAAGACTGATCAATTGCAGTCCTAATCATCAATGAAACGATTCAAGTAAACAATATCGAGTGAATTTAAACTTAACACTATTGTACAAGCCAGTGTCTATCGGGACTCACTAGTTAAGTAGGTAACGTAATAGCATTTGAAGCAAACAGTATTGGATTTGAGCCCTGGAGTAAACATTAACTCTGAGATGCAGTTACATCCAACTGAAGAGTACCAAATAGGACGAAACGTGAGTCCTGGATTCCACTGCTAATCATTATCTATCTTTACTTATAAATTATAGAATTATTCCAAGGAAAATGCTGTACAATTTTCAATAGTTACATTATTGTTTCTTTGATTATACTAATGATATTTTGCAAAATACCTTCATTTTAGAATTTACCAAATCATAAACAAAATGCTTATTTTATTCAAATGGATGATGACAGTTGTACAGGAAATGAAGATACACGTGCATTTCTATTAGCACAATTAACAAATCATCGAGTTTCTGAAGTCTACTGTTTAGCATGTCAACAAATTTTGCCTATTTATGATCATTTCCCTGTAATAGATGGTATCTTTTTCATCAGTCCATTATGTCATCGTTCTAATGAAGGTCATCGTAAGGGTGGTGGCCTACGGGTTACTTGGCATACAAATGGTATACAGAATCAATCTGTTCAACAACAACAACAACAACAACAACAACAGCAACAAACTCATCGAGCACACAATACTACTACTAACAACATTGATAACAGTAGTATCAGTAACCATTTAATTTCGTCGACAAATGATTATCAATCTATAAATGAAGTAGCTTTGAAACTTTTAGCTCCATTAAAGATTATCTCACCACCACCTGGTTGTCTTGGACCTAGGCAACAATTAAATTCAACACAGCATAATATGATTAATACTGGTACCGTTGGGGGTGGGGGCTCAAATCAAGGTGCTGCTAATAATAATAGCAATAGTAATATACCATCTAGATTTTCAACAAATCATTCATCTACTAGGCAATGCCGTTATTTACATGCTCTATGCATGAATTGTATGCATTCAGAAAATTTGATTGCCACTGGTCGAGTAAATGATTTAAAATGTATTAAATGCAAAATTTGTAGTAAACCTTGGTCTGGTAAGTTAATAGATTTCATAAAATGAATGTTAATTTATGAATATGTTAAACATCTTCAATTCATTTATCACATATAGGTTAGTGTATTGGGATTCGAGCCAATACTTTAAGTGTGAAGACTAGTGATACTACCTTATTGTCTTATGTGAAGTAAGTAATTGGGGGGGGGGAGTTCAAACATGTGACATAGCTAGTGAAGTTTAAACACCTTAATCATTGATCCAATAAAAGAGAGGGGTGTACACATATAGTATACATCTCTCTTTGAACCTAGCAGATAGTAATAATATGACACTCTATCTTATTGCTCTTACTAGATCAGCCAACTTGGACATCAAATATACAATTATAAAAAGTCTTTTTCATTCTGAAAGAATAACGTTTTGTTATTTCTAAGGTTGTAATTCTATTCGTTTTTTTGGGGGGGCTGACCCAGGGTATTCGTCAAAGAAAGTCCAAAGGGGCCCTGAAAACGCTTGGAAACATTTTACCCAATCAATATTAAATAGGAGTTCCTCAGAATCATCTAGAAAGTAAAGTCACGTATCACATATCTGATTAGATGATTACTTATCCTGCTACTATGTTTAATAGGGTTCCAGAAGTTTCCAGGAGCCAAAGGTCCTCTGAAATGCTATAAGTACCCTCGATTTTCTGTACATGAACTAACCTTAGAGTAGAGAGTTTTTTTCCATATTTTGATCCTTCTCTTTTGGTGTTCAAGTTGTCGTCTAGATTTGGTTTGGTATTATTAAAAGATTTTAGGAAACTGACTCAAACGTTCAGTCAGAAGTTTTTCCAGTTTCAGTTTTAGAAACTCTAATATAATTTTCAATTTTAGATTTTAATAGTTGAATTCCTGAATCAATCTAAGATAGACCACCATTGGAAACCTGTGAGCACTGGACAGCTGTTTCGCCCTAGTATGGACCTCCCCAGCAGTGCGCATCCACGATGCCACATGCAGGACTCGAAACCGAGGCTATTTGTCCTTGGTGAGAATGTCTAAGCCCTACACCACTGATGCGGTTAAGCGTTCGTACGCAAGACTGAACGCCTTGGTTTCGAATCTCACGAGCGGGATCGTGGATGCGCACTTCTGAGGAGTCCCACAATATGACGAAACGGCAGTCCAGTGCTTCCAAGTTGTCAATGGTGATTTACCATCAATCGATTCATGATCTCAATCAATGATCCTTATTTTCCTGAATGAACTTTCCAGAATATTTCCTATAAACAAATGATTTAAGGGATATACTGTATTCATTTTATCGAAATACTTCCATAGAGACTCAGTGTTAATTCGGTTATATTGACAAACGTAGTTCAGTATGACTATATTTGGATTGTGGTTAGTAGTGGGATGCATTAAAAAAGAGCTTTTTGTCCCATATCGGACTTGTAAGCCATATATATATCTGGATCCCAATGTTGATGGTCTCATTGAAAGTAAAAACAAAATCTTATTGCTTCAAACGGTAACTTATTATCCAATAAGCTACTTAGTTCATAGAACAGGTAACTTGTGAAACAGGTATGATGTTCATCCATAATGGTTTTAATTATCCTCCATTGTTGGTTTTTATGAATGAGTTTTAATCAAGCATTTCTAACTTGAAATGCCCTGGTATGGCCGAGGATAGGGGGAGTACATTCTGCCTCTCGAAATACTCTCATATGACCACATGTATATAGCCACTGTTAGGGAAGTTTTACTTACTGCCTTCTCGTAGTGGGGGTATTGTTTACTGGGTTGGTGGGTACAGTGGATCCACCTAGGGAAGTTGGATAACCCTGACTCCAAACCAATGACATATATGGTCTCCAAGATCCTGAAGGAACAAATGACGTAGGAACCTAATGTTTGTCACTGAATAACATGGGACTGCATCTCTCAACATGCTAATGCGGTATGGCAATTTGGACCGATGCATATATGTGCCTAGTCCCACGTTGTAGCTCACTGACTGAATACTGCCTTGTGACCCCTTAAGTAAACCATCTATTTCAGTTTGGGCGCTTGTGCAGTATTCCACCCCCCACACAAATTGAATGATTTATATGGTACATATATATATATTTGATGCTTCCTAGTTTCTAATAATGGTCTAGTTAAAGATCAATGAATCGTTTAAACTATGATCATGTTTTCTTCTCTAATAAAAATTCTTATTTCTTTCATTCAGTCAAATCATGCATATTCATTGAAAATTATAAAAACTTGTCTATAAACTATTTCAGGTCAGTTTAAGGTTAAATAGTCTGTTCTTGTCTAGAAACTAATCATCATGCATGCTCTCTTCCTTCCTTCCTTCCTTCCTACCTTCCTACCTTCCTCCTTCCCCCCTCTCTCTCTACCTCTATTTCTATCTTTATCTCTTTGTAGACATACATTATCATTTCTCTATTTTAATGGATATAAAATATGATTCTGTCTGAAATAGAAATGAGTCATTTATAAGGTCATTTCTATGAGATAATCAATATTTGAAGAATTGGGGAAAAGTTAACAGTGAAATTTTCTTGGCATCATTATCCTTTAAGAATACACTGAAAGAAAATAAATAATAGATAGATAGATAGATAGATAGATAGATGTGTGGATAGATAGATAGATAGATAGATAGATAGATAGATAGATAGATGTGTGGATAGATAGATAGATAGATAGATAGATAGATAGATGTGTGGATAGATAGATAGATAGATAGATAGATAGATAGATAGATAGATAGATAGATAGATAGATGTAGATAGATAGATAGATAGATAGATAGATAGATAGATAGATAGATAGATAGATAGATAGATAGATAGATAGATGTGTGGATAGATAGATAGATAGATAGATAGATAGATAGATAGATAGATAGATAGATAGATGTGTGGATAGATAGATAGATAGATGTGTGGATAGATAGATAGATAGATAGATAGATAGATAGATAGATGTGTGGATAGATAGATAGATAGATAGATAGACGGACAGACAGAAAAGTGGGTATAATATTATCGGTTACGACTTAGTGATCAAGTGAGAATCTTCAATACGAACGTCAACACAGTACCAATGTACGGAGCTGAGACGTGGAGAACTACAGCAACTATCATCAAGAAAGTACAAGTATTTATCAATAGTTGTCTACGCAAGATACTTTACATCCATTGGCCGGATACCATCAGCAAGAGACTTCTGTGAAAGAGAACAAACCAGCTTCCAGATGAAGAGGAAATTAGGAAAAGACGATGGAAATGGATAGGACATACATTACGGAAATTACCAAACTGAATAATGAGGCAAGCACTAACTTGGAATCCTGAAGGGAAGTGGAAAAGAGGAAGACCAAAGAACACATTACGTCCGGAAATAGGATCAGATATGAAAAGGATGAATAACAACTGGAAATGATTATCCAAGACATGGTTTGATGGAGAGTTGAGAAGATTTGTAGCTCAGGTGGATGATTTTGATGGAGTTTTGTTCTCTGAGCTGGATGGTTTGGTCTTGGAGCTTTCATCGTTCTTTTGAACAACATCATCAGCACGAACTTCTGTCTGAGTATAGGCGGCCTATGCTCATCCACGAAGAGTAACAGCTGTAAGTAACTCAGTGATCAAACAAATGTAAATATCCCAAATCTACAGGTGGTCAATCGCTCGTCGAATAGCTCAGTATTAGAGTCTCAGACTGTTAATTCTAGTAAAATGGATTCATATCTTCCAGTGAAGAAGTAGGTTAGTGTTTAAAGGCTTTCAACCATCAAACCACTGAGTCTCAATTTCGAACCACGCTCCATCTGCTATTGTTTGGACAACTGAATAGTATCATTTTCTCCGATTATTAGAGTGTAGCTCATTCCTTAATGCCTTGTGAATGAGTTAATTTAAAAATTTTAAAGGTAGTACCAGCTTTCACAGGATCGCTGCCACACCTTGTTGATAATTTTCAACTATCTCGTAACCTAGTTCGAGGAGTGTATCCTGCTGATTGCCTACAAGCATTTTATATATAAGCGTAATGCATATCATCTCGACTCATTATGGCTGATAGCCAATTTATATCTGATATACAAAGTGGTCAATAAATACTCTACACATATGGTGTTAGTTGTAGTGAACGCTACTTTTACAACACTGCTTGTAAATAATATGTTGCGGAACGTGGTCTTGAAGTTGTTGGATGGAATGAAGAGTTTCAGTACAGAAAAAGCACTGTGTTGACAGAACACTTGGAGACTAGATGAGAAGACTGTTTAGATTGCAGAACACAGAAAAAGAAGTAAATGGATGATTGAAGATGATGCATATGTATTATGTAAATGCTTTGTAACTTCTTGTAACAAATATGGATTCCGTTTACCCATTGCCTAATTTTATATTAGTCAGTAAGGAATTCCTTACTGAAGTTTAAACAATAATTGCTAGTTTTCAAACGGAGTTCGTCAAGTGCTAAAGGGATTTTGTGATGAGGATAAACGGATTCTTTATCACGACAATACATCTGCGTATTCAGTGGTAATTATCGACAAGTCCTCAAAACTATGATGGATCACCCTCCCTACTCACCAAACTTAGTTTTCTGATGTTTCCTTTTGTTCTCAAAATGCGATGCTGAGATTATAAAGCGTTAAACGGCCACAAAGCACTTGAGGAGTTTAATTTCTGAAAACTCCCATGGATGTTTTTAATAATAAGAACGGGGCTGAGAGTACTGCCACAAATTTGAAGTACGTTTGAGGGAATAAGATAGTTTTACACACAAATATGTAAAATAACAATACCTTTTTATTTGAGATTTCAAACACATAAACATTGGTACAAGGAGGTACCAGATAGATATACACAAAACCGAAACAGGTGGTCTTCTTAGGAGGCCACACCGAGAGCCTTTGACCAGGATGTCTAATCCACAAGGAAATGGAGAAACGTTGGGAGATGCCCTCACATGGTAGCCAGTGACAAACAATATGTTCTCACGCCATTCGTTCCTTCAGGATCCTGGAGACCATATGTGCCATTAGTTTGAAATCAGGGTTGCCCAACTTCCCTAAGTGAATCCTCCGTACCCACCAACCCAGTTAAAGCACTGAACATTCGCTTTTCATCCTGTCAATTTCGTAAACAACACCCCCATCACGAGAATATAATAAGTAGGACTTCCATGACAGTGGCTATATACACGTGGCCATATGAGAGCATTTCGAGAGGGAGAGCTAACTCTCCCCACCCTTGGTCATACAATCATTCTATTTAAATGAAACTCATTTCTCTTGTTTTATGCATTAAAAAGAATTTTTTTCTTTTGAAATCAATAGGATTATAATGGATTATACATTCTTCTGTACTCTCTCTCTCTCTCTCTCACACACACACACACACTATGACCTTATTATTGGATATAAGTAGAATGAAGAAATTCCTGTACTTTCCCCTCTATTTATTATATTTTAAAAGTACATAAAAGAAAAAAAGTTTTTTTGTTGTTGATAAAAACGGGGGGGAGAGAAGTACATATTTTTCAAGGAGATCTAATGGTTCAATCACCTGGTGACAACCAGGTGATTAGAAAAAACAAACAAACTTTCAAATGAAAAATTTTCATTCTAAATAGTAGTTTAGTAAATAAGAATACAAATGGGGACAATGAAATTTATGTGAATACAAAATTACAGAACACCTTAGTGAAATCTGTGAAACATACAGAGAATACTTCGTTTGCAAAATATCAGTCAATGGTCTCAGACTTCATTGTTCCTTCGTTTCTACACTAATAATTCTCTTTACTTCGATCTTCTTAACCTTCTATCTCCAAGCATTTCACTTTCGATTGATGATACATACTAGATATATCTGTTGACATCACTAGCATACATCACACTCATTCCCCCTTTGAAGCACTCGTTCTTGAGGTGATACTGCTGACCGTGTCATGTTCACCGTCGAAATGTCGAGTATGTGGCGCGTTGACTTTTATAGCTTCATCGACCTGCCGTGTTATCGAAATCTGACATACACCAAGCACCCGGGATGTTCAACGCTTGTGTTCACTCGTGAACACTCAACCTACAGACCACTATGGTGAGGCAGTCGTTCAGTGCTTCCAGGTTTTGGAAACCGAATGTCCTAGGTTCGAGTCGTGCTTGAAGGATCGTAGGTACGCACTGCTGAGGAGTCACATCGTTTAAGGCCCCCAAATGCTCTGGTACGGCCGAGAGTGGGGAGAGTCAGGTTCCCCTCTCGAAGTGCTCTCACATGTCCACGTGTATACAGACACTACTAGGGAAGTCCTGCTCATTATATTCTTGTGGTGGAGGTGTCGTTTACGCAATTTAGAGGGCGGAAAGCGAATGTCCAGCACTTTAACCGGGTTGGTGAGTACAGAGGATCTACCCAGGGAACGTAGAAAACCCTGATTCCAAACCAATGGCACACATAGTCTGCACGATCCTGAAGGAACAAATGGAGTATGAACCACTCGTTGGTCACCGGCTACCATGGGACTGCATCTACAGACATTGCTTCACTGCCTTGTGGATCAGATTTTTAGGTCGAAGGTTCCGTGTGTCCCCCTAATAATAGCACTTACTTCGGTTTGGGCAGTCGGGCAGTATCACAGCCCACATTCAAACCAAGTGACTTCTAGGTGCCGCTTTTGAACATATGTTTACCTGTTCTAATAAATAAATAAATAAAATGGTGACCTCACATTGATTATTTCATGATCTCAATTAAATCTCTAAAACATTCACAATCTTATACTGATAACATAATTTAGTATGTCAATTCGCTTATTTCTTGATTATATGATATAATAGTTGAAGAGGTTTGTGGAGATAAGCACGACATTCAATAGTTACACTGATTACATATGAATATTCTAATAAATATTGTATTTATTTATTTGATTCTTAACATTTAGGCACTTCATTACTAGTTGGTGGTCTTTATACTTATGATATATTTGCTGCTGTACCATGTTGTTCAGCTCATTTAACATGTGGTTCATGTCAATCACGTTTAGATAATTTATCACTATCATCCAATTCAACAATATCGTCCTCCACCCTAACAACAACAACAACAACAACAGCAAATACATTACAATTCTCATCAAATGATCTACCTCATCACCATCAATATCATGATCAGAATCAATATTCAATCAATAATATTGATCAATCTATAAATAATCTTACAATTAAATCTTATCCATTAAATTATTTTAGTCAATATAGTAATTTAATTATTTGTCCATATTGTTCTAAAGTGGATTATCATTTTGTTAAATTATTTGAAGATTATTATGAAGTATCGTAGAGGATCATTTCATGATACTTTAATATTTTTCTTCTCAGGGTGTTTTACATTTTGTTTTATCTGGTTTCAACAAGTTAATGCGGTCGAGTACTTCATAGAAACAATACAAACATACACAAACAAACAAACGCACAAACACAAACTAACAAACAGTACGAACACAAACAAACAAACAAACAAACAGTACGAACACAAACAAACAGTACGAACAGAAACAAACAAACGAACAGTACAAACACAAACAAACAAACAAACAAACAGTGCGAACACAAACAAACAAACAAACAGTATGAACACAAACAAACGAAACAAAACAGACAAACATAATTGATAATTGAGCTAGAAATATTATCCAATCACATATTATTTTTTTTTCATTTTTCAGTTTGACCTTCAATTTTTACTCAGGTCAATGTTTTTAATTATATTTTCTTCGACTTTTGTTTTTTTCTCTTTTTTTGCTCGCTGAATGTGCTCAAAATCAATTTTATTATGGATGTTTTATTTTACTACTTATTTATTTATTTCAGTAGTATAATACATTTAAAAGAATAGTACTATAGATATGTATATGTAGTAGTATATAATAATAAATATCAATGTACACTTGAATATATTGAACACATTGAAACACTTTTTAAAAACAAACAAAACGAAGTTGTTCATGTATCAATAAGTATTTTTTGTACGTGTGTGTGTGTGACACAAAGCGCCAAATTGTAAAAAGAATCTCCTTGTTCAATGGAGCTCAGTTTATATATCTATATCTATTTATCAATCTATATATATATATATATATATATATATATATATATATATATTATTTTTGTGGTTAGCGTTTTTTTTGGCGCGTTAATTATCTACAGGGATGAGGTTACTAACCCCATATCCAACTATTCTTCTTTATTCAGGCTTTGGATCAGCATCAACTTCGACATGGGGGGTGCCTATTTAAATATTATAAAGCCTATATTACAAATGATATTGCTTCATTCAATTTTTTCTTTGTTTTAAACAACGTATAGGTTTATATTTCAATTATGTTCAATTCATTGTTGACACATTTTTTTGTGTTAAAAAAATGAGGATAATGAATAGTTTACTGTTTTTTTTCCCCGCCAAAAATCTATTTTTGCCAAGGTTACAAATGTGAAAGCCTTTCATTAGTTTACTTTTTTATTGGTTAGCTGTTAAAAGCAAACTGATTTATTATTACGTCATAAAGTGTTACTAGCATTTTTTTTGAAATTGAAGACATGATCAGTAATGAAATCTCAGGGGAGTGTCATTGTTATTGCTTATTTTTTTCTCTTCTCTTTCCCCAGGTATATTTATGTTGTTTTTAATTTGATAAAATCAATTATAATTGTTATAATCAATTGTTTGTTTATTCTTTCAAGGTCAAAGATTTCTGGTTTGTTTGAACTCAATAATAATAATGGTTGGTTGTAAAGCCTTCTGGAAAAACTGATTAGCTTGTTTAGATGATGTTTTTCAATGAATTTAAGATACACCTATCAGGAGTTTATAGATGTTTTTAATAAGGAGCCATTTGATATTAAAATTGTATGGGTCTTTTTTGGTGCCCTTTATTTTGTCGTCATTTAGATTGGACGATGTTTGTCGAAGGGCTCTCCACTTTAGTGGCTCGGTATCTGACTCCAATTTGATCGTATGTATGATGGTTGTCGAAATATATATGTCTCCTAACCTCGTCAAATAACGAGAATGGGCTTTTGGATACATATATTTTGTACATGAAGCGATTGGAATAGAGAGAAAAGCGAAACGACGCGCAGTGGTGATGGCGGTTAGGCCAACTCCCCTTTAACCAAACGTTAAACAATATTTATAGTTGCACAAAAATAAGTTACAGACATGTGATGAGTAATGGAATAAGAAGCGTACACACATATATGCACTTATATAAAAACAGTCAAGATTGATAAGTGAATAACTAACAAGGTCAAAATGTGACTGAAGTAGAATGAATAGAATGTGCTGTCCGAAAGCTAGAATAAGGTATATGGGCTTAACATAATAACAGACACTACAGGTCTTAATGTTAGGATTTAAGGTACTACTGTAGTGTGTGTCTTTCATATCGACATGAGTAGTATGTGACGACAGTCAGGAATAGATTATATTTCAGTAGAAGGTCGAGAACGAAAAAATGGGAACACAAAGCAATTGATATGAAAACGCAGGAATAATGAAGTCTGAGACTATTGACTGATATTTGCAAAAGGAACAGTCAAGTTTGAGACAATTGATTGACATTTTTCAAATTAAGTACTTAATATATGGTTCTCAGATTTTAGTAAGATATTCTGTAAATTTGTATCCAGTGACATTCGATTGTCCGCACGTGTTCTCGTTTATTACACTATTGGAAGAAAAGGATGGTCTCCACTCCTGTTTTTTTATCGACCTGTCTATTACATTTAGCAAATACACATTACATGAGCACTAGAGATACATGGATTCCAAACCGATAGACTCGACAGAACACATGTGAGCTTAAATACTGTAATTGTTGGGATAGATGGCTTTCATTCCTCTGTTTGATACATCTGACTTGTTATGATTTATGCGCAAATACATACTATATGAACGTGTAGTGACTTACTTTTATCAACAGAACGCGATTGGTGTAATGGAAACAATTACTATTATAACCAATTGTACCAGTGATTGTTTTACTGTACTCGTTTGTTTGACTGCACCAAAGACATCCTTCCTTCCGCTGATTGTGACCTTGTACGCACTTACGTTTCCTCAGTGAATCCGCTTGTACTCCTTGGCACAATCTCGGTATCCTTTTGATACCACGAGATCGCTAACAAATACATCTCGACTACAGCCATCATCTGCCTTCTGATATTGGCCCACGGGGATCTTATTGGTTAACTGGCACGTAGTCTTCTTGTAGTGGTGATCATAGTCAACCGCGACTCGATGCCACACTATAAACGCTTGGGATATTCAAGTCAATTAGGCCTATTCACCCAATAGCATTCAAATGAGCATGAATTTTAAGTAAACGTACATCTATCACGATCAAAATGGTAGTTTAATCCAAGTTATTATAGAGTAGTAAATTAGGCTTCTCTTCATCTACTGTTTACATTAATTCATTAGACACAGTTCCAGACACTGTGAAAAAGTATGAGTCAAATTTTGGCTGGGGATACTTAGATGGATTCGGAAATATTACCTGTGTTTTAATGACAGTAATTCCAGTCTTTTGCTGATGACTGAATTTATTATGGTCTGTAATTACTTTGGAATGAGTAGGGTGTTACTGAATTATCTTTATGTTTTACCAGTAAAATTGAAGAAAACTTGTTATTTACAAATGAACAGTAAACAAGTCGATTCCGTTTCCGTCTATTCGATAATTGTTAATCGAAGCATAGTTTTCTATGCCTGCACGCTGAACAGCTTCGATCACCTAATATGATAATATAGTCTAACCAATATAGAGTCACTTTCATAATTAGTCTCGACGTTGCAACTTGATCAATAGAATTCAGTCATCACTTAACAAACGTGGCATCAGTTGCTATTAAATTGCCAATCGGTGTATATTCATTGCAGTCACTTGGACTGTGATACTTCATGACATGCGTTGAAATCCACTAAATATTGCAAATATGTTTTGCTGAAAGTACGAACTAACATAAAGTCTAGGCGAAACAGGGGTTCATGTTGATTTTCTTCAACCATTTAAAACGATTTTAACCAGTTTTAGCGTGTCTTTTTAGCTAAACATATTCAATCACTCATCTACTTACTTATCTTTCCCGAAACTGTCTTTTTTATAGTCTATTTTCATTTGCTTCCCCTGTGTAAGAGCATAGATTTGATCTTCCTGATTTCAGGTTATTATTTTGCGTTCTTTATATTTAGGTAAATCTAGTTTACCGTTGTTGTTTATACACTAAAGTGTTCCTGAGTTTCTACATGATCTTTCTAATAAGTATAAAGGCTAAGCTGCCAGCAAAATAGTGAGAAACTCTCAGTAGCTTCATAAACCGTTGAGTCTTAATTTCTGGAGCTAATTCATTGGAGTAGACACTTTTTTAACCCCACCATGAGTTTCAGAGGGAGAGCTTGGATACTGTAAGCATGATAAAAGAGGAGAACGCATGTAGACTTCCCTCGCTAATAAGAATACCGAACATGTTCCGTTCTGAGTACCTGGTGGTTGGGGATTCTCTGTATGAGATGAGTGATAACGAACACGGGATCCATGGAAATAGTTTATGAACATAGATTTGGAGAACGTAGAACAATGGTCAATACTTCGAAAAGAGATTCACCAATCTGAAACGTGATTATAATTGTTCTATCATCGAGTATACTATTCCGGTTATCGTTAGAGTTCTAAGATTTGATCAATTGCATATCACGACTGATAAGGTTACTGTCTAGTTTGAGATGAAATAAATCTTGACTCATATTGACCTAGAATGTTTGCCCATCTTCTTCGCTATCTTTTGGTCCGACAGTAGAACATACACTTTGTCTGGTGACTACGGCCCCATCATCTACGGGAATATTATCATCTAAATGACTTCAATTTAATATGATTAACAGACAGGATTGAAATAACGAAAACCTCGAAATATCCATATTGGGAATAAGAGGTTTAACTTAATGCGAATAATCTTTGTAAGGTTTTTCTTGTTTAATTTTTTAATATTGATGATGATGATATAGTTAAATAAGAGTGTATATGAGCTCTTACTTTACCAAATTTAATAAGATAAAGTAAAATGATACCTTACTACTTATGGCTTATTTTAATAAGTTTCAATAATGGGGTTCTTTGTACCTCGGGAGACAGAGAAACATACAAGATAATAGATGCTATAGAGTCAGCGATGTATATTTTGGAAGTGTGTGGAGAGGATGCGAGTCACTTATACTAGTCACTATGCTGTAGCTTGATCAATGCAATTCAATCATCACTTAAGATCAAACAAACATAATAT